AATAGGAACTCAAAATCTCTGTTAATTTGTATAATTGGGGGGGGATAAAATCAGATTTTTTTAAAAAATGAAACTGTTTCAAATTGATTTTTGTATCAGTTATATGACAAATAAAGAAAAGCACTGGAATTTAAGTATGTGTCTAACTTGCATTTAGTGTATGGCTATTGTACGGAAATAACATTTTAAATGGCTTAGACCTCATATCTGTATAAATAAAGGCAATGTTTTAACAGGGTAAAGCCCTTTAAAATTAGTTGGTTGGGTTTTTCTGACAGGGTGCTTCAGGAGTAGGCTCCTGGTCTGACATTTTATTTTGGCTGTGCAGTTGATATTTTATTCTAAGGAGGAATAGGTAAATCTAATACATTAAGAAGATTGCTTGAGGCAAATTTACACAATACCAGAGTTTAGATTTAAAAAAACAAAAACTAGAGCATACCTTATTTGGGCATATGTCAGTGGCCTGACAGCCCTTTAAATATATTATTTTCATTTGTTTTAACTCTTAATTATTGAAATGTGCTGGTAGTGACTTGTGAGGTGGTATGGCTGGTAGTATATCACCATCTGCAGAGAGCAACTGCTGAGGAACACAGAGGAATCATGGTTTGCTGGCCCAAACTTCATTGGCCAGCATATTGCTGCTAAATGGCCGGCAACGTCAGCCCAGTAGCTCCAGCAGCAGCACATAACTCACACCAGTAAAAGCATGAAGCCACTTCTCCCTCTATCACCATTCCATGATAGTGGCCATATATTGCCTGCTAAGTCACTTTGAGCCATACTACCTTGCCAGGTGCTACTGAAACACTTTTTTTATTATCCTTAAATGTGAATTGTTTATATTTGTGTTTCTCAGTATTTCTCTCTTGCGGAAAATATACATTGCTTACACATCACACATACTCGCAGTACTACTCATTATCATCTCATTTTTCCCCATAGGACATTTAAAAGAGAATTACTACTAAGCTTTGTGTGTTATTGTTGAGATCAGTTATTATTTCTGCCCTTTTTGTTAAATTCCATACAGAACAAAACCCTTATCATCCAAATTTGCACAAGGCAAGAGACTGAAAAGCTACGAGGAGTCAAGAATGCATGCTAGTAGCATGGGATACAGAACAGCATCTTGTTCCGCTATGTGATGTGAGCAGTCTAGGGCCACACAAGAGGAGTCCACTTCGCAACTCCTCTCCACACCTAGGTTAACCCAATTTCATGAGGGTTGAAACTGATGCAGAGAGGAGGGTGCAGTGTGGATTCCTTCTGTCTGATCCCTGGTTTATAACATTACCTGGCAGCAAAAAGTAAGAGCACTTCAGAGGCTTCCATACTGCAGAGGTAACTTGTGTACCAGTCCTAAAGTGTCAATAGCCCATGTTTTTCTTAAATTGCAATCTAATACTATGTGAGCTTATTGCAGCTTGGTCTACACTAGATACGCTGCAGTTCGTCAGGCACAGTGTCAATTCCATAGGAGTTGTCAGGAGCAGTGTTATTCCCTGACACATTGTTCCTGTTAACTTTCTGTAGCCGTCTTTCTTTGGCTTCAGCAAAACTGGAAACATGATAAATGATAAGTAGGATTTTTGGAAGTAGTGCACCTAGAAGATGGGTAATGAAAAATCAAGTTAGTCACACATAGGAGATCACACAGCAACATGAAGATGCTACTATTAATGCATGTTGTCTGCTTTATTGCTTCTCCAGGAAGCAATAGGATGGAACTTTCCATTAAAATAATCCAAGCTCAAGATATACTAATCACAAATAAATTCAAATTATTTTCATATTAGTTCAAAATTGACCCCATTTCTATAATTGTAATTCTATCGTACTGGAATAACCACAAAGCATTCATCTGTATTTGAAGTTAAGCACAGCCACTTACTGTAAGCCGCTATCTCAAAGCAATTTCTCCCTCTCTTTTAAAGATACATGCAAATAGAACATTTTGGATATCCTTTTCTAAAGGTTCCAAAATGATGTAAAATAAATTCCAGAGCATATACATCTTTTGTTACATAACAAGGCATTTCTTGGTTTGTCACTTTCAAATTCTTGATTGTTTGCATCTGTCTCAAGAAACACAGAAGTGTGCCTTCAGTGGTGAAGTCAAACCATTGGAGAATCACAGTTATCAGCAGAGACCGGTAACTTGTGACTGCTGCCTCCCTAGCAGCTAATATATGATGTTTCTTTGAAAGAAAGGTTCTTGCTCTAATGCTTTTTCAGTGCAGCCATAGTGGCGTTGAACGTTTTGAACAGTGCTTTAAGAAGCAAGCTGGAACTTTAATCTGAAAGATGAAAAATACTTTGGCCATGATTTCATCTTAAGTACTTTACTGGAATGAGGCTGAAGTACAGTGAACTGCATTCAGAATGAACCACCGTTTAACAGCAAACATTTTTCAGAGTGTCAGTTATTAATGAGTAGCTTGGTCCAGACATAAAATATACTTGCCCAATCTGTCTCGCATTCTATAAAGAATTCTGGAGATAATGGCCTTTAAGCATTCCCAAATTGCACCGATGAAAGAGGCATGCAGGAGGACGTGCCGGCTCTGTCCTCTCCACCTCTGATGTGGGAAGGTCTGAAAGGGAGTTTGTAAGTCCACTTGGCTGAATGAGGTTACAGCCTTTGCCACAGTCAGGAACTCTGTACAATAGGAGTGCCTGGTGGCAGCGGCGTAGCATGGGTTGTCAGCACCCGGGGCAAGGCAAGTAATTTGCGCCCCCTAACCCGTGGATTTGCGCCCCCTAACCTGTGGATTTGCGCCCCCTAACCCATGGATTTGCCCTAACCCCAGATGTTGCACCCGGTGCGGCCGGCCCCCCCTGCACCCCCCACGCTACGCCACTGCCTGGTGGCCAGATTACAAGGGCACAACTGGAGCAAGGGCACCAGGGCCCATACATGCAATGAGCTTTCATTTTTTGTAAAAAGTAAGTCTCTAACCCCCCTAGACAGAAAGCTTTGAAGCAAAATTTCATCTTTAGCAAAAGTTAAAGAAAAGAGAAGTGGAAAAGAACCAAGGGCATGCATGTGTACACACACACACATGCACACACCATACACATTCTTGTCTAGCTAGATAGAAGTGTGTGATTTTTTTCATTTCTGTTTTGCTGAGCTTGAGTTACTCATTTTATTCATGGAAAACAAGGTAGATTTTGTGATAGGGTGGTGGCTATGGGAAGCCCCTATTTCAAATATTTCCATAGCCATGAATTCAAGTGACCTTAGGCAAGCCTCTATCTTTGTTCCAGTCTTCTATCCTGTGGAGATTAAGAAATAATATTAGCCCACCTTGAAAGAGCTGTTCCTACAGATTATTGACATAATGCATGTGAAATGTTTTGAACGCTCTGGAAGAGTCCTATTTAAATACTGTTTTGATTTTTCTGGTTATTTTACAATGAATGCAACCTCGCTGCAAAATCTTGCACCTCTTGTTTTGCCTTCCGTGAGTCTTCTTCCTTTTTTTTTCAAAACTGCTTAAATTCAGAGAATAAAATTGTAAGATTCTGAGTATAATATAAACTATTACAGAAAATGCTGCTTTAAGTTATTTGAGGCAACTTCATTATGAGATGCAGATTAAAAAAATACTCCTTTTGCTTTTGTGTGTTAACTTTAGCCCTTAGTCTTGTTTATCTGAATAGTAGGATGACTGTTTAATAATCTCACTTTATGTTGTACTGATTACCTGATTCAAATGCCCTGTTCAAAATTGTAATCCATGTCCGTCTTTCATTATGGATAGGTTTGGTGTATTTCCATGTTAGCATTGTTCAATATCAGCAAAATCAAACAAGAGACAGTTTAACTGCTATCTACTCTGGTGTAGTCCCCGCTAATTTCAGGATATAAAAATTATCCATGCACTTGGTGGTCCATCAGAAAAAAATCTTGTTTCAATCCTCTTCCTGAATTCTAAGAAAGATTGCAATATTTGCATGCAACATTTAATATGTTTGAGCCCATTTCCAACATATATGATGCTTGGCATTATGCCCATTTAAAATGTGTGCTTGCTGTATTTTCCTGCAATATTCTTTCTGCTTCATGAAGCTGCATCTTCTATAGCATCTTACCCAAATTTAACCAATGTAGTGCCTTCCAGATGTTCCTGGACTTTGGCTCCCATCAATCATTGGCCATGCTGACTGAGGCCAAGAATTGTATTTCAACAATATGTGGAAGGCACTGCATTGGCAATCCGAGCGACTCTTATCAAAGAGGATTCAGTGCTATGTTACACAAGGCATGTTACTAGGAATTGTTAGAAGTATTGGCTTTGAATGTGCACCTGTACAAATGAGGCCAGTTATTCCATTTACAAGATCCTGCAACCTCCAGTGTGTTAAATACATGTAGTCCAAAGTAGTTTTCCAAGAAGTATTGAATGAAACACCTTTTCTTTAAACACATCTGGAACAGAAATGCTTGTGCCGCTGTCTTTGTTTTATGCAGCATTAATGTTGCTTATCTACTGATTAAAAGATGCTCATGCGTTAACACTGCTATCCAAAGCAAATTCAAACCAAAAGTAAGCTGTAAGGTCTGCACAAAAAAATAAATGCAATTTTTAGTTGGGAAAAGTTAGTATCATTTACAGATTATTTTCTTCAAGAGAAACAAGTTCTTTGGCTCTCGCATACAGCAAATGATAGTAATAATGCATACTGTCACTTTCCTGGGTTGCACTAAGATGAGCATGCCCTATATGTTAAACTGACAAAGAAAAATTACTAACAACTCTTTTCTTTCTCTTCACACCCCATTCCTCTTTTGCCTATATCCTTCCATCTCTCTCTCTCTCTCTCTCTCTCTCTCTCCATTTCTTTCTTTCTTTCTTTCTTTCTTTCTTTCTTTCTTTCTTTCTTTCTTTCTTTCTCTCTTTCTCTCTTTCTCCCTTTCTCCCTTTCTCCCTTTCTCTCTCTCTGTGCATATGCTTTGTATATTATTTTGGCACCCTTCAATACTTCAGTGTGATCAAGATCAGTGCATTCAGAGCACTAAATTCGTTTTGCAGGCTGCTGCCACACCGCTTCTCCAGAGTGAGCCCAGCATAAGTAGTGAAGAGCTACCTTTGCCAGGAAAGACCTCTATCAGTGCTCCCTGTGCCACATTAACACTAGGGCAGCCAACACCACCCTCCTCCATGCCAAATCTCACCTCAGAAACAGGTTTGACAGACATGATACCATTAAAAGAGGACTCTGAAAGTCATCAGTTTCTTACTCCTGAGGAAGCTCCATCACCACCTGGGATGTTGCCAATTGGGAGTCCTATGATTCACAGCCGTACCATGCATATCCTCAGCCTAGCCAGCCAGGACTCGTTGCACGAAGACTCAGTACGTGGCCTTGTGAAACTCAGCTCAGTCTGAGCAACTTTCAATATGATGGTGATTATACAGCCCTTATATGCTAACAACAGAAACTTGCCAAGCCACCTTCGGACTCCGTAACATGCATAAGCCACTGAAACTTTGCTAGGTCTTCTTAAAAGGACAAGTTATTTTTGTGCAGTGAAGAAGCTATGGCATTTCTTTAATAGCCAATTTATAGCTTGGATTTGATGTGACATTGTCAAAATAACAGAAATGTACATTAACCTTGTTTGGTGACTAATAGTGTCCAGCAGTTTGGAATCCTGGTACTTTGAATTTGATTATGATAATACTTTAAAAGATATTACTGGAAGTTAGCATCATATTCCATGTTTTATGAAGTTCTCATGTAATGTTGCCTTTGAGGCCATGCCGGCCACCCTTTTCATGTTATTACTCTACTAATATTTGAAACAAAAAAAATGCCATTCAGATAATACAAAACCAATAAATACTGCAATTGTGGATTTGCATGCCACGCTACAGTGTATGTTACAGTAGTGTTGGTATTGAGAGAAAGTGCTGCTTTATTATTTGTGAGTTTTGAAGTACTGTTTCATATGAAAGGCAGTGCAACAAACCAATGGACAAATGTTTTGTTTTTTTTAATCAGTCAAAGTTGTTATAAATAAATGAACTGGTGGTACTTCAAACGTGGAGGACTACCATTTTTTGCATATCATTTCACTTTGAGTGTCTGATATAAGATACTGTGTTGTGCCATTGATTTCTCTCTACCATCACCGTTAGATAAAATGGCACCCTCTGTTCCCTTAAATATGTGTACAGTTAATACCCATACAGTGCGGATGACAACAACAGCTCCATATGGACTGCGAGTTACTTTTCCTCATGATAATGCAATTAAGAAGCTCAAAGGAGTATATAAAGTCCAATTATGAATGGTTTTTAGTATTGTGTGTGGTTTTGAAAATAGTTTAATTTTAGGACAAACCATGCCTACAACTAACCTGAGTGTCAAAATAACTTGAAGTTAATGAGTTGCATCTAAAAGCCCTCTTCCATTATCTGGTTCTCACAAACAGAAGGGGTGTGCTATTAACAAGTACCCCCTGAAAATCTGATGTGGAGGGTTGAGAGACCCTCTGGAACAGCATAGGGTGGAGGCTGCAGGTATTAGGGGTAACTGGCAAAGGTCACCTTCCTCTCCTTCCATTTTCAGGACTTCTGCTAGTTGGGATATCTGTTGCATTCATGGAATGGCACCTTTGGATCCGATCTAATATCTTATTTAGGACCCATACCAATGGTGCCCAGAGAGATCTTCCAAGTAAGAGATTTGCAAGGTAAGGGTGCCCCAAGGTTCTAAACTTTGGGAAGAGGAAGAGATAAATTACTGGAACATAAGTTACATGTGATCCATAGCTGCCATCTAGTCATGTGTATTTTCAATTATATTCTATTTTTAATTTAAAATTGACATATTTATGAGACATAATTATTTGTTTTTATTTGAGGTTAGGACAAATTAGTTATGATTTAAGGGGGGGGAAACTGCTCGGGGATAGCCAACAAGAACATTAAAAGTGATCATTCAAATGCTATGTATTGCTGCATCTTGCCTTGCTTTTAAGATGCTAGGACCTGCAATAATCTTTTCTCAGGACAAAATTTTGTGCAAAGTATTTTTTAAAAAATTCAAGCTTCACTGCAGGCAACTACTTTTGAAAACAAGGATCATGAAGACATGGATTCGTTGCATCTCTGAGACATGGAAAAATACAGTTCAAAAGAAAACAAAAGCACAATGTTTTAATTGGAATAAGGCCATCTCTCTTGTAGAAGTGCCAAACAATGTACTGGCAAGAAGCTTCACACTGTGTACAATTTTATAAAAGATATTATTTTTCTCTTAAAAGTGATAAAACGTTCACCTTGTTTGCATGTATAGTAAATATCTAGAGGGGGGATTATATCCATAGGTTCCTTGCTTTTTCTGTTTTGCAGAAAGCTATGCATGATCTGCAGTTATCTGGTTGTGAGCCATTCAAATGTTTACAAGCTTTCATATAAAGGGATATTGTCTCTTTTCCTGTCAGACCTCAAAGGATTTATTTAAAATCCTGCATACATTATTTCCTTTAGCACAGGCTTATTCCAAAGAAAAAACAACTTTGAGATGCATTCTTTTGACTTATTGTTTGATTACTGTACTAGAAGGAGCTATAAGAAGAATTTAAACAACTATAAGCACCAATATAACAGCAGTGAACACATTGATTTAGGGAAACGTTTTCAATGGAAGTGGGTGAGGTTGATTGCCTTTGTAAATCTCAGTCTCCATACAACACCTCAGAGGCAATAATCCTAAATCAGATTTTAAGTTTGTGAGCTAATAATGTTATGTCATGTGCTAGGAATACACAATTACACAATACATTCTAGAAAGTTGGGATACTTCAATTTCTTGCTATCCTTCCTCTCTGCCAGAAGGATTCTGATTTTCCTACAAAACAAACAAAGATTAGGGCAGGAGGAGAACTGCCTTTTTTTTTTTTTTGCTCATTACATTGAAATAGGTTTGGCATCATTTCTGACGACAGAAGGAAAGTATCACATGGACACTTATTTTGTGAAGTTCATTTCTTTAAAAAACCTACCAGTATTGAATTATTTCAGTGTACCTGAATATTTTGCTTCTTCTGCAGATGCCAGAACATGGAGCCTACATTCCCCACAGTGCGGAAAATAAACAATGATAAATATTTTACTCTGCCATTATGACTTCACAGCTGTGGCGCTTACACAAAGGAGTAGAAATGTTTAAAAATTCATCTGCTTACATTTTCACAGAAATACTTTGGGGTTCTTTTTCAGTAGCAGCATTTGGATACCTTTGCTATATGGAAATAGCATCACATGTCACTTAAGTCCACAATATGGTTCTGGTAGTATTTTTTACTGAGGGAGGGGCATGAGAATGCCGCCATGCTGTTGTTTTTAAGTGTCTCTTATATAAAGCTTTAAAATTCTGCACTGCCACATTAGAATACTTTGGTTTTCTTAGAGCTTGAGGGAAAGAAAATGCTCGATGACAGAAAAAGTACTGTGAATACCTATTTTAGAATGAATTTATTATTTCTGTTTCCATTGTTGTACAGTAATTTTTTGCTGTTTATAATATTTTTTGACTTTGTGTTGAAGAATAAAAAGTACAGCATTTTTAAGCATTCCCTTCTGTTTTAAGATTTTTCATTCCCCTTGGTGTTAAATCTCTTCTTACTCTCCACCAGCCCTGGTACATCTGTTTATTTTCGTTACCATGACATTTTAGAACTTTTACTGTTGCGATGTGATGACATCTGCTGGAAAACAATGGAACTGAGCATATGCTTCTTTTAATTGCAGTTCTTCATTAATGGTATACAGTAGCTTTAGAAGTAGAACAGTTACAATTTCCAACAGATTGACCTCTCATGGTCTGTTTTACCACCAGTGAAATAGTTTTAATATTTTCAGCACAACCCTGGACAGCTTTACTCAGAAGTAAGCCCCACTAAGTCCACTGAGACTTCCTATGAAATCCATGTACCTAGGAGTGAGTTAAAACCAAACACATTTTACCACTTTATTTAACCAGTTCGATCTGTTTTTGTTAGGTTCAAGAGACTTGCTCATGTTGAAGATAGACATCAGCTGTATGAAGTGATGTTTCTAATCTAAGGAATATGCTGGATTTTTTTCTGTTTTCCTTCTTATTAGGCTAGTAAATAAAATAGTGAATGTTCTTCATTGGCACTATCTGTGTACAATATATTTTTATGCAGATACTGGTTGCATACAACTCAAGGTCTGAATGGCTGTGTTGTGCAAAAACAATATCGTTTAAAAAGGTAGGGGCTTTTTATTCCCTGGTGTAGTCAACCTTTCGGGTAGAACTTCATATTGCATGCATGTACACTTACTATTAGCCCAGTGGCTGCTTTTCCCAACTAAAATCATCCGGGGGGGTGGAGGAATTGGAGCATAGAAATTGCTGGGTGGCAAGGTTCTTTAACCCTTTCCCCACTTGGCACTTTCCCAGCCTACCCTCCCCCCACAACTACTTTCTTTCCACATGCTTCCAAACTTGTGTAAAGATATATGTAGAAATGGAAGTTATATAAACATACTGTAATAAACAATTTTTACTCCCAGGGAGTAAGTAAACTCAAAACAATATGAAAGATGGAGTTTTAAGCGAATTTTAGGCAAAATAAGGATAAACAGGTAAGTAGTAAGTCAGCTAGGCTGGGAAGAACTTTGCAATGCCTAGGGATAGGAGTGGCTATATACTACAACAAGGATGGGTAAGGAAACTCAGGCCCATGGGTCTAATAGACACAACAGGGCTCTGAATTTGCCCTGTTAGGCCATTTGGGGCAGACTTTCCGCCTGTCAGTCACCTGACGTCATATGATGCCAGGTGCAGAGATCTGTTATCTCTGATCTAAATGCCAAGATCTTGGCTTAGCATTTGATTGATTTAATGTGACGTCACTAACAGGTTGCCCCACCTACCTATCAAAAATGGCTGCAAGGGGTAAGTCAGTTCTGGATCCAGCCCTCAGGTTCCGCAGCCCTGTATTACAGGTTTCTTGGGCAAAAGACAGCTGAGGACCAAAGACACCACCAATGGGACCAAAAAAAGGTCAAGTAATTAGAACTGAAAACCTCCCTCAAACCCTGGGGACAATAGTTAATTTTGTATTACATCTACATCGTGTATTCTAAGCAAAAATATTAATTGGCTATTTGTATATATTTCCAGACTTGCCTCAGTCTCATTATTCGTTTATTTATTGGGTGAACTTTGTAGCGCATTTTATCGTTCAGGCCCGCAGTGAATAATATTTCCACCTCCTGCAACCACATCAATTCTGTGAAGCTCACTGTTCAGTTTTGCAAGTACAGGATAGGAAAAAGGCAGACATGCACAGCAGGTACTAGTGAGACTGGTTGGATTGGCATTTAACCCCGATCTCCCAGGTCAAGCTCAATGTTGTCAAGGTTGGTCTCGAGAAAGAATGGAGTGTGCCTCCAGGGGTAAAGTCAAACTGCTGGAGTATCATAGTGTTTGCTGTGGCTGCAGAGACTGGTAACTCATAACTGCTGCCTCCTGAGTTGTATTTTATGCATTCTGTATTTTCTGGCCTCTCCAGGGCACAAGCCTGGGCAGTGTGTTTGGAGGCCCTGGACTGCCCAGATGACAAGACACCCCACCGTCAGTTTTTAATCTCAGTTTTAGGCTTGGGTAGCTTGCATGTCCCCATACCCTCACAGCAACCCTATAATTTTAGGCTGAGAGAATGTAGATGGTGCAGCATCACCCAGAGGGCCTAATGGAATCTGAACCCGTTGATCAACACACACTGAATGCTGTTCAGCATTTAGCCACTACAACACATTGGCAAAGGCTTTAATCCAGCCCTTCCTTTACTTTCATTAGCCCCTCACTACCAAGCCTGAGCCAGAGCAGCTTCAAGGGAGAGCGAGAGGTACAGTGGTACCTCAGGTTACAGACACTTCAGGTTACATACGCTTCAGGATACAAACTCTGCTAACCCAGAAATAGTACCTCAGGTTAAGAACTTTGCTTCAGGATGAGAACAGAAATCGTGCTCTGGCGGTGCGGCGGCAGCAGGAGGCCCCATTAGCTAAAGTGGTACCTGAGGTTAAGAACAGTTTCAGGTTAAGAATGGACCTCCAGAACAAATTAAGCTCTTAACCCGAGGTACCACTGTATACAACTCTACCAAGACTTTGCTTCTGTTAATGTGGCATATGACAGTGTTAAAGAACCCTTTGCCCTTCTTGATTCTGATGGGATAGGAATATCTCAGCCTCATTCAATTTAAAAAAGATGGCTCTTGTTAAAAATAGTTGCCAACCCAGGCACTAAGCTGAAAATTCAGGCAGGGAGAAAGCTGTGAGAGAGCAGCAGCAGTGCCTGTGTTCAGGCAGCCAGGGCTTCTGCACCATTGCACAAAATAAATAAAATGACTGTAGGGAAGTATTTGTAGGAATCATAAGGCCAGCTGAAAAACCAAAGTTAAACTAACATTTTTCAAAATGAGGAAAGTCAATAGGATTCCATTCCCAAGCAAATTGTTGCTGCAGATATTTGATGGCTCTTGCTCACATCTCTTGGAGCAGCCGGAGTTCTGGTGCTAGCCTTGCCAGGGCAACTATGCTGGACACTGGCTTGCTTGTTGTCGTTCTAAATACCATTTTTGTTTTCTTCAGTTGCAACTGAACAGTCAACAATGCTTCAAGTATTCTTTTGTGTGTCGATTTAAATGCCACTACTGCATTTCTGTTTCTGTAACTCCAGGGAAATTGCATCACATGGTCAGTTAAGCTTTGCGTTAAAGTAAACAGGAAATACTAGTCACTGTTTGGGATCTGATTGAGCCATGCATGACTATTGTGTGTTGCAAAAATAATTTAGTTTGCTGGTGAAGTGGGGGAAGACAAACAACCCTCACCCAGACAATGAACTTATTAAAATTAATCCACAAGGTTAGGTTTCTGGTACTGAGTAATAAATTAGCATCAAAATGCTACACATTAAATATTTGCAGCAATTAATAATAAATATGTAGAAAAATAAATGGGTTATAATTTAAAATTGATAACTTTTAAGTCAGTTTTTATTTTAATTTGCTTTCTAGTGCTCCCAAAGGTTTTGCAAATATAATTTCCTGAAAGTGTTGCTGTAGTTTCAAGAATACAGAAACATACCCATACTTGCTGACCTGATATGTGCTAGTTACTGTATTCAAGTAAACCCCATATTTCAGAAGAAAAAGGAATGATTTTTAAGATCCCACTGCAGTAACGGACTCAGAAAATAATTATTTGTCATCTAATGATGGCCCCACTGAATGAATAAAGGCTATACAGCTGTAATGACTGGTGGATTATGACTTAAATGCTGATATTGCAAATACACATCTAGTGGATTCCTGGTGGGCAAATGAAGGAAATGAGAAACGTTGATCACGGATTGTCCCAACCCCCTTGTCAGAATGTATTGAAACCTTACAATAAAGACAAAATAAAATCATCGAGTGTGTTCCTTTTGGACTGCTTGCTATCAGACCATTAGTGAAGGAGGTTGTATGTCATATTAAGTCCATGGTAATGTTTGTCTATAAATCTCTTAATGTTATTCCTATACTCTCTATGTCTGTTTAGATAATTTAGTTTAGAAACAGGAGGAAATGCAGTAGCCTGACTCCTTTGTGAATCATATTATGTGATATGAGAACTCAGACCTCTTGCTCCATGGACTAATGACCTAATTCAATTAACAACAACAACCCTTTCAGTTTAACATAGTAGGTAAAGGGCTTTCCATGTTCACTCAAACTCCAGAATGACAGGAAATTACAATTGTTAATGGCCACACCATTAACAGACATGTCATTTAAACAATATGGATATAGTATGGTATCTTTTGCCGTAATTGGTTCAGGCTTCACCACTACTTTGGAACTGGATGATGGAAAGTGGCAAAGGAGTGGGATCCACGTCACAGATATGTCTGTTCACTGGACTAGGCACATGGAATCTGTGTAACTGAAGCTGCTATTCCACACAACAAATACCAAACTGGCAACCAATATTATCATCAAAGAATGATCAGAGTTGTAAGAGATCAGGTTGTCTCACCCCCTGCCATAGATAAAGCATTTTAAAGCACATCTTAATAATGTCATAATACCAGACTGTATTTCAATTGGTCTGGAGGTCTTTGAGCGTCTTGGTCTACCTCAGCGGTTGCCAACATTTTGGACCAGCAGGTACATTTGGAATTCTGGGAAAGTTCCACAAGTGTCATGGGGCATAGCATAACATAAAATGGCTGCTGTGGGAGTGTGGCATAACACAAAATGTCTATCGTGGGTGGCACGACATATTGACATAACAGAAAATGGCTGCCACAAATAAAAGAGCGGCATGGGACGACGACAACAGGACCACAAAATGGCATATGTCCCCCTTTTCAATGGGGAAAAGACCCCTATATCAACCACTATCACACTCACAGAGAGAATATATTTACACCTCTCCTCTGTTAAGAATGGAAGAAAGGGTGGGTGTCCAATCCTGGCATCCAATGAAATGTGACCATGTTTAAGGGAATGTGTTCAAGTATAGGCCAAACCCGTGTGCAAACAGGAAC